CGCATTCACACAAGCTCCTTCCTTTCTGATTCAACGTGCTGCTAAAAATGCTACTCACCGGTTATGCAGAGGTGAATCTTTACTTGAGAAGAGGGCCTAGTTTATTTGCAGAGAGCTTCAAGTTACCATTTCCCAGTAGTGCTGGACACAGAGATTCTTCCATACTTGTTAAAATCCAATTCAGCTTGATCTAAGAATGTTTACTTTTGATATTTCCTTTGGAAAAGAAGAAAGGGTGTGTTGTAGTACCTTTTTCTGAGAATTTTTTTGGAGATTTCTTTCAAGATTCAAACGTTCTGTGGAGAGAGTGTAGTGTTCCTACGCTTACTTACAACCAATCCTCGACTTACGACCATAATTGAGCCTGAAATTGTGGCCATAAGTCATTAAGCAGATCCCTATGTGTGACCAGGCCTGATTTTGCAACCTCTTTGCAGCCGTCATTAAGCAATCACTCTCTCTATCAGCCAAGGTCACCTTATCAGGTGGTTGTGATGGGGAAAATAAAAGGAGGTATGTTTGCTGCCTTGAGTTTCTTATAAAGTAATAAGGGCAAGATTAAAAAAAAATCTGAACAAATAAAGGAGGAGACAGAGGTTTGGTCGGTGGTTGGACAGTCCGTTTCAGGAGGGCTCCATAACTTTCTCTGAATGAAGTTGCATTCCAGTTGTGTGCAACTTTCATCAAGCTAACTTTTACAGCAGTGGCCCCTAACCTTTTGGGCACCAGGGACCAGTTCTGTGGAGAGAGGCGGACCAGAAGGAGCGTGGTTTTGTGTGCTGCCTTCATCCCACAGATGGGGCTTCGCCTGTTTGCGCAGCCCGGTTTTTGGCATGCCATGGCCCGGTGCCGGTCCATAAACCAGGGATATAGGAGCTCTGTTTTACAGGGCGTGATGTGAGAGAATAACAGGGTAACAGAATTGGAAGGATTCCTTGTAGATTTTTATAGTCCAGGGTTGTCAAATTTGATTTCATTGAGGGCCACATCAGGGTTGTGTTTTACCTCAGAAGGCTGGGGTGGGCGTGGCCAGAGTGGGCGTGACCAGCATGACATCACTTGTGTCGGGGGGTGCCTGTGGTGGCCCAAGTGCTCTGCCAGTGAAAATGGGCTCCCGAGTTCCGTTTTCGGCTGCGACAGCCTCCTGCAACCCTCCGCCAGCAAAAATGGAGCTGGGGAGTGGGGAACATGGGGCCCTCTTGAGCTCCATATTTGGCTGGGATGGCATTTTGCAACCCTCTGCCAGTGAAAACGGAGCTTGCAAGGGCCGCATCCAGCCCTCCCGAGTTCCATTTTCTCTGACAGAGGCACCATGGGCCAGTCCTTTGCTATTTCCAGGGGCTTCCTGTGGGCCAGATCTAACCAACCCGCAGGATAGGATCCAGCGCCCCCCCCCCCGGGCCTTGAGTTTGACACCCCTGTTCTAATCCAATCCCCTGATCAAGCAGGAAACCCTGTAACACTTCAGACAGATAGAGAAGGAGTGGCAGAACCAGGGGTCAGAGTTAAACGAGGGATCAGTCTAGAATCCTTACATAGCCACAAGTGGACTAAGTCCAATTCCCCTTGAATTCCATTGACCCTGTTATCTAACTTTAAGCAGGAGCTGTCCTTGGTTGAGAAGATTCTTATGCATAAACTTTTTAGCAATAAATTAATTTAATTGCACCTTCATGTGTGAACATGGTCTTTCATGCCTGACACATATTGTGCCGTCCTTCAAAGTAGGTTTAGCCATATAAAAAGTGGTTTCCAAGTGGGTGGAAACTGAACTAAATATTGCTGTTGCTTTAAGTATTTAATCATTAAGCTTTTGCACACTTTAGCACCTGGCTATAATTTCTGTCTCCTCCCATCTCAGCAGAGTTTTGGTTTTAAAATATGTGAACAAAACCTCCCTCAAACTCCCTGTGCATATGGCTGCCATTTGTAGAGAGCTGTACTTCCAGCTCAGTATGCAGAAGCCCGGGGGCCTGCAAGAGTTACGATTTTGCAAATGGAAGGGCTTAAAACATCAAAACGTCTGTACAAATTATGATATATATTTTTTTTACATTATAAGATAGCTTTGGAAAAGTAATTGTTCTTACAAAGAAAATGGAATGAAATTAAGAATCCTGAGTGATTCCCTGTGGGCCTATCAAATACTCTAGAATTAGCAGGAAAAATCCAAACGTAGCAAGATTGGCTTAATCAATTTTCAAGTACAGTTGTCCTCAACTTACGAGCCCCAAGTTTCCATTGCTAAGCCAATTCTGCCCCATTTTATGGCCTGTCTTATTCAGTGAATCACTGCAGTTGTTAAATTAGTAACACAGATAAAAGGTAATCAGAGTTGGAAGGGACCTTATAGGTCATCTAGTCCAACTCTCCGCCCAAGTGGGAGACCCTACACCATTTCTGACAGATGGCAGTCCAATCTCTTCTTGAAAGTCTCAAGTGATGGCGCTCCCACAACTTCCGATGGCAACTTCTGTTCCATCGGTTGATTGTTCTCGCTGTCAGAACGTTACTCCTTATTTCCAGGTTAAATCTCTCCTTGTTCAGTTTCCATCCATTATTCCTTGTCTGGACTTTGGGTGCTTTAGAAAATAGCTTGACCCCCTCCTCCTCTCTGTGGCAGCCCCTCAAATATTGGAAGACTGCTAGCATGTCTCCCCTGGTCCTTCTCTTTACTAGACTAGCCATGACCGGTTCCTGTAACTGTTACTCATGTTTTAGTCTCCAGTCCCCTAATCATTCTGGTTGCTCTTCTCTGTACTTTTTCTAGAGTCTCAACATCTTTTTTATAATATGGTGAACAAAACTGGATGCAGTACTCTAGGTGTGGTCATTAAGTGAATCTGTCTTCCCCTTAATGGTCCTCCTTCATATTCTCAGGGCAATGGATGGCTATGCAACATAGGTATCAACTCATCCAATGAACATGACTATCATTAAGTGTTGTACCTTATAATTCTTGACTCTTGACGAATGTATCTTTTCTTTTATGTACACTGAGAACATTTGCACCAAGACAAATTCCTTGTGTGTCCAATCACACTTGGCCAATAAAAGAATTCTATTCTATTCTATAAAATATTTCTCTGGTCTTTTAGAGTTGCCAACAGAAAGGGAGAGGGGAGCAGTGCAGCAGCTTGCAAAATCAAAACTGCATTCCACAGATGTTTTCATAGATAGTTTCCAGACAACCGAAGTATCTGCCATGCAAAATTCTAGCTGGAGAGTATGATTGATTATTCTTGGCTATGGATGTGTCCCATTGGAGAATATGAATTATGATACACCCAGGGGCTCAGAGAAAACCAGAGTCAAGGGTGACAATGAATGATGTGTCTCAGAGTAGGCTACACCCAGGCAGCACCAGCATGTCTTCTCCTAATTAATCTTCTTTGAGCGTTGAAAATCCGGCTAGAGACTCATGATTTAAATGGGGGTAATTACCGGAGCCCTGACAATAAGCTCTTTTCAATATTAGGGCAGAGACCATGGAATTTGTGAGGTCTTTGGTGCCCTCTAAGATTGGTTGTTTTCTGGCAGACATTTCATTACCAAACTAAGTAACATCATCAGTGTTAATCAGGGAATAAGGAGAGAAAACCTTATTCCCTTTCTAGCACTGATGGTGTTACCTAATTTGGTGCTGAAACGTCTGCAAGAAAACCATCAAGCCCAGAGAGCTCCACAGTTCTGAGCTATAAATATTATCTTCTATTGATACCATGGGATTTCTTCAAGAAGATTCGGTGCAGTCTTTTCTTGGTGGCTTTTAGATTCTAGCTTAATCAAGTTCACTAGACTAGAAGGTCTGTTGAGCCTCATCAATTAACTCTAATTTGAAAAGCACAGTTGCTTTTCTATAATCCCCCAAAAGTCAAAAAATCTAGATTTCAGTGGATGCTGTATGTGGTTTCCTTTTCAGTTTTTTTTCCTTGGGTGCTGCTTCTTTACATTGTGGTTTGTTTGTTTGTTTGTCTCATCTGTTGTTTTTGTTGTGCTTTTCTGTGACTGTCAACAGCCTTATGCTTCCATATGGATAAAAAGGAGGGAAACCAGTATCTGAAATGCCTAAATAAACATCAGCAAATGAAAGAATTTTTTTCACCCCTTCCCAATAAGCTTCCCTTCAGTTATTTTCTTCCTCTGCACAGTTAATTATTTTTTAAAAAATGGGGCCTGAAATGCCAACATTCAAAAGATGGAGCATTTTCCATCATTAGCACAGATCGGTATCTGTCTAATTCAGAGGTCCCCAAACTTGGCAACTTTAAGACTTGTGGACTTCAACTCCCAGAATTCTCCAGCCAGCTCCTCTCCTCTCTCCTCTCTCCTCTGTTCATTTCTGTTCTATTTCATACACCCATCAGTTCGATACATTCTCTTCTCTCCTCTTCTTCATCCATCCATCCATCCATCCGATATCTCCTCTCTTCTCTTCATTTCTCTTCTCTTTCATAGCTGGCTGCAGAATTCTGGAAGTTGAAGTCCACAAGTCTTAAAGTCACCAAGTTTGGAGACCTCTGATCTAATTGTATGCAGGTAGTCCTCAACTTACAACCACAATTGAGACTGGAACGTTGATCACTAAGTAATATGGTCACTGCGTATGTTGTGCCCGATTGGACCACCATTTTGGCCATGGTCATTAAGTGAATCAGGCTTCCTTCATTGGCTTTTTTGCTTCTTAGAAGCCTCCTGGGAAGGCTGCAAATGGCAATCACGTGACCCCCCCCCCCCCCCCCGGATGCTCCAATCTTGCAAATACATGCCAGTTTCCAACAACTTACTTTTTTTATCATCACGGGACCATGCGGTCGCTGTGATGGTCATAAGTGCAAGGACCAGTGAGAAGTCACTTTTTTCCCCAGCGCTGTCATAACTTTGAGCAGTCGTTAAGCAAATGGTTGTAAGTGGAGAACTATCTATATTTTAAAAGGGGGAAATTCTGAACTGGGATTGGTTCTCTCGCTGATCAGCTTCTGTTATTGTTGTTTTTGCAGCAATTGTACGCCGCGCAACTTGCAGCCATGCAAGTGTCTCCTGGTGGAAAAATATCCGGCATTCCCCAAAGCAACATGGGTGCAGCGGTATCGCCTACCAATATTCACACCGACAAGATCACAACCACCCCACCACCCAAAACGAAGGTAATGCTTTAAAGAGTCACCTGCCAGGCTCTCTCAAATAAAGTACACGTTGCATATTAATGGGATATTTGCATGCTGTGGATGGAAATAATCCAGGTCTTAGGCCTTATTAGGTCCTATAAGGCTTATGTCTTAGTCTTATGTCAAGGATATTTACCCATATAGTATGGCTGTGTTACTATTAACCATCTTATCTTTTCTACTACCTTCTCTTATTGGTATCTTATGATTTTATTGTCTTGTTTATATGTACCCTGAGAGCTTATGCACTGGAAACCTCTTCTCTTCTCTTCTCTTCTCTTCTCTTCTCTTCTCTTCTCTTCTCTTCTCTTCTCTTCTCTCCTCTCCTCTCCTCTCCTCTCCTCTCCTCTCTTCATTTCTCTTCTCTTTCATA